TCCCCGGGCTCGGTTAGTGCCCACCGACGTCATCATTTACAGTATATACAAATAACAGTATTTACAAGGAAGAATACTGAAGAGGAAAAAAGAGATGGTTAAACGTAGGTAAAATGTTTTTAATTCTATTTTATCAAAACTTTACCACCAATCACTTTACTTTACTCAAAGGAACAAACTAAGGAAATTCATATTTTTTTTTTTTTTTGGTTTTTCGAGACAGGGTTTCTCTGTGTAGCTTTGTGCCTTTCCTGGAGCTCACTTGGTAGCCCAGGCTGGCCTTGAACTCACAGAGATCCGCCTGGCTCTGCCTCCCGAGTGCTGGCGTCACCACCACCACCTCCCGGCTTCAACTTTTTTTAAAAAACCAATTCTTTTCTCTCTAGTGGTACTGGGGATCAAACTCAGGCCTTTTTATATGCTAGGCAAGCTGTCTCCCACTGAGCTACATTTTCAACTCAAGATTCAGCTTCTTGAGATATATTTTGAGTTTTAGTTTGATCTGGCCTCAAACACAATGTAGCAAAGCTGACCTTGAAAATCTTCTTTCCTCTACTTCCCAAGTGTAACTACAGGTGTGTGCCACTGAGACATTTTATGTTGTTTAAATATGGCAGTAAACCCACTTTTGTTCATGTGCCTCAGTGATAAAACATATGCTTTGCATACATAAGGTCCTAAGGCCAGATCAACAAACCTTGCATCCAAAAATGTATATAAAGCATGTGTGGTGTTTGTTTGAAGACAGTCTTACTATGTAGCCTTGGCTGGCCTGAAACTCAAGGCAATCCTCGTGCATCTGCCTCCCAAGTGCTGGCCTATGTGACTATTTTTAAAAGATGTTAAGAACATAGTAATTTAGTTACTGCTATCTTGCAAATAAACAAAAACATCAATATTAAAAAACTTTCCATACATGTGAAAGTATCTAAAGTGTCTTTGACAAAAAACATAATTAACAAACCCTGGAAAATAAATGCCTTCCAGGAGTTGGGCACAGCACATACCTGTAATCCCAGCACTTGGAAAGCTGACCAGAGAGGATTGCAAATTTGAGGCCAGCCTGGGCAACACAGTAAGATCCTGTCACAAAAGACAGACAGACATGAAAGAAAGAAGGAACAGAGGGAGGAAGGGGGGGAAGGAAAGGAGGAAAAGAGGAAAGGAAGGGAGGGAAGGAGGAAGGGAGGGAGAGAGGGAGGGAGGGAGGGAGGGAGGGAGGAAAGGAGCAAGCCTTCTAGGTTAGTCTGTAAGTCAAAAAAATTACAATTTAAAATATTTAGGAGCTGTGGGCATGGCTCAGTTAAGGACCTAGGTTCATAACCATAATGGGAGACAGGGAAAAAAATATTATACCCAGCATACATTAAGTCATAGCCTTACCTGGCCTACAACTGTTTGACATAAGTTGTGTGTGACTTCTACTACTTGGGAAAAGACAAGTTCATAACTAGCCTTTTCCTTCCAGTCTCAGCTCTGCATGACTCTAAGAGGGCATGTGTTAGTCCTAGGGACTACCCAGAATCCATCTCCTAGTTAATCCCAGCACACTGCCTTTGCAGCTGCTTCATTGGTCTCGAACACACTTTCAGCAAACAGAACGGCAATTACTTCCCACCACTCACCTTAATAAAAGGGGAATCCCAAATCTGCCCCCAATCAAATGCACCTATCACCAAGTTTTATTTGGAAAGGCTTCTCGAAAATGACTTTAAATTTGAGACATTGTTTGCAGGATGATTTCACTTTTAAGAAACATAGAACACAAAAACCTTTCCAAAACCAGAACATAGTTTCTGTCCTTTCTACCAAGTAAGTGTTCTACTAAATCCAAGTGCCCTTTCTTCATATTGTTTTATAATGTAATCTCAGCTGCTGCTTTGAGTAAACAAAGAAAACATTCATCATCATGATAGAGTGCTCAAAATTAGGTTACTTTTCATTGTTTTATTCCTTTCAAAAGAAGACAAATTTATACTTTGCTACTCTGTATTTTTTTTCTTTCACTAACAAAACACTATACAGGGTTAATTCTATACTGCCCAGAAGACACTGGATTCTGAGGTCATGAAAGTTCTAAAGAAATATGCAAGAATTAACTATTAGGAACATGAACTTCACGTATTTCTTTGATAACACAAAGGAAGCAGACTTTCCTGCAGATAAATCCTTCACCAAGTAGTGTAAATAGGTTGCACAGGTCTTTCTTTTGGGATGTGGTTATGAAGAACAAAGACTGACTACATTCCTTATCACCAATAAAGGGCTTTTTAATTATTGTTTTAAAATTGGCTAAGATAATAAAAAAATGCTGAATGGTTTCTATTCCATGTATAATACCAATTTTTGAGAATTATACCATAAATATAAGCTGTAAGACTAGCTATATATCATTTTACAAGTGAGATGTAAATATATTACAAAGTCATATTGAAAGATACATAACTAAGGGGGTGGGGGGGGTGACAATTCTTACTTTTAATTTCCATTTCCCTCTTTGGTAATACTTTGAAATGTGAAACTAAGAATATTTTACCTCCTAATCAGTAATAATGAGCAACAGGTCAAAAGTAAATAATCTGGGCAAACCACTTAAGGGCACAGAATTAATAGCTTTTTAATAGCAAACAAAAATAAATACCCAGAGTTATACAGTGGGAGTGAGTGACCATGTTTGTTAACTCTTAAAAAAAAAAAAAGTACTTAAGGGAAATAGGATAAGAAAGAAGTATTGGAAACCAAGAGAACACTACAGGAACAAGTACAGGTTTCAACAAAGAAGTGCCCTTGACTACATTTTGAAAGCCAGCTACTTAAAAAAATAGCCAGAGAAATTTTACTGAAAAAAATAAACAATAAGTATTTATTGAGTATCTACTACGTGTCCAATACTTCAGGAAATACAAAAGCATTGTGACTTCGTTGCTGCTCTCAGGGAGCTTACAATCTAATTTGAGAAACAATTCAGACATCTAAAGTCGGACTGGGATGGGTAAGCTTACCACCTCTGACAGAGGAACCAATCCCTAGAAGCTCGGTTGCAGACCTGTGTCCCCTCCCCCGGCCACCTTCACTCTAATAAGGAGCTCTCCCAGTTAGCAGCACTTGGGGGTGGGGACCAGTACAGTTAGCCCTTCATCACTAATTTACACGACAGCAGTAGCTCTCATTCACAGCAGAAACAATCATTGGGGTAATCTAATAATTAATGACAATGGTGTAGGACCACAACACAGGTTTTATCAACAGATACACATCCAAAATGTTTTAATCTCTAGTGATGTTGGTTGTCAAAATGATCCCAATCCCCTCCCAGCAAATCACATCAGATATCCCCAACGAAGAATATGGGAGGTGGAGACAAAAAAGGATTTCTCCACTTAAGAATCACAGTTGAGTCAAAGGCAAAAAACGTTAACAACAAAATCGCCTTTTACTGTGGTGTTTTTTTCTTTCCACAACAACCTACACCAGGGGTGGCTAAATTTTAAGAATCGTGGAAAAACAGTCTCTTGTTTGTGACATCACGTTGCACAGCAATTTGGGGGCTGTCCACCAGGTGAAGGGTCTCAAGAAATTTGGAATTCCATTCCCATTATGAGAAAAATGAACAAATGCCCAGTGATATAGTGACGTCCCTTAGGCGTAATACAGCCCATGGGGGCCTCCATATCCAGCTTCCCAAATAATATAATGGTTTTGGGTACCCAAAACTACAGTATAGACAACAGGAAGCTAAAGACAGCAGCAAAAAACAGATTCCACGATCAGGGTCGGCAAGAAAGAAGGCAGAGTAATAAGCGGAGCTGACAAAGAGGCTGGAAACGAACAGAGGACAGAAGCCCACGCGCGGAGGATGGGAGACTCACCCCCCTCCGCGCCACATCAAGAGCCCATGGGGCCATTCGCCTCTCTACCTCCCACCCGGAACAAATTAAGCCTCCCCACTCCAAACCGAGGGCCACACATGGGGGAGTTCAGGGCAGCTCCACCCCATCGCCCCCCCCCTTTCGCCCCCAGACCAGGCCGGATCCGGATCGGAGGCCCACGGAGGGCTGGGGAAGGGAGGAGGCCCTTCTCCATAGACACCGGCCCCACTGGCCCTGGGAGAGAACCCTACCTCAGGCTGGGCCCGGGCCTCGCTCGCCCGCGCTCTTTCTCGCTCTCCCCCTTCAGGCTCTAGCCGCATGACCCCCCCCCCCCCCCTCCGGCTGCCCCAAGCCCCGCCCCGGCCACGCTCCCAAATCGAGGCCCCGGCTCTGGCGCGGCCCAGTAGGCCGCGAACCCAACTATAAACAAAACCTCCGGCGGCCGACACGGGGGAGGGTGGGGGGTGGGGGGGAGGTTGGACGCCCGGGTCCGCAAAACTAGAAGGGTGTACAGCGGGAAAACACACAGCGTGGGGTGGGGGGGGGGGCCCTACCGCGGGAGGGGGGGGAACCGAGGGGACAGGGGAGAAAGGAGGGAGGGTAAAAAAAAAAAAGGGGATCGCGGATTTAAAGGGGCCGCGGACAATACCCGGCCCCGCCGCGTTGCCGCTGCCGCCGCCGCCGCCGCCAACGCCGCTGCGCTCCCAACTTTACCTCAGTCTCCTCCACACTGACACCCCGGGCCGCGCCGCCCCTGTCACGTGATAGAAGGTTCCCTCCTCCCCCACCCCCTCCCTCCTTTTTCCCCTCTCGCGCTCGCGCTCGCGCCTCTTCCCCC